GTATTTAATTATATTGCAAGTAGACCACCAAGGCATTGATTATGATATTCGTTAATAGGCCATATTGCATTGAAATAAAAACCGATATCAATTGCAAGTACAAAACGGGCCATGCATTACACTTACAAGCGAAAAAAAACAAATTAACAAAAGAAATCACTTGCATTTTGAATAATTAACCATGCGGATGACGATCATATGACAGGACAGGTAACATGTTTCAGAGTAGCAGGTTGGAGTCAATTTCGAACCCGGAGTTTGGGTGTCGAGTATTACCGTCCCCGCATTGGGTACCGACGGGAGACCAGGAACCCAGCGCCGCCGCCGACACGGACTTGGGTGTCGGTCGCTCGGGTGTACAATCGGGCGACAGGTGTGTAAGGTGAGACTTGGAGATGAAGTGGTGATGCACCTCCGAGCGCGGGGGGGTAGGGGTGGGTGGGGTGGGGGGGGGGCGTGTCGTCATCCTCTGCGTTTGGATGATTTAAGGATTTTGATGTACTGTGTTCAACGGTAGTGGATGTTATTCATTATCCCTACAGGTGCCTCCAAAGAGTTATGTTTCTACCTGCACCGTGCTTTGTTTTACTTTCGCTAGCCAGTTGGGCGTCAGGCATACCCAGCAGTCGCGTTCGTCGCCACGTTACGAATGCCTGTTTGGCCATAGATGGTTACGCTACAACGTTCGACGGTTCGCATGTTGACGGGAAGAACTCAGGAGGTAGGCCTACGTGACCTTGGCTGGCGTGTCTTGTAGGGTTTCTTACTTTTCTTATTGTCTCGCTGGCTGTCAGTCTCTCTTTCCCTTTGTGTATGCCTCTCTCTCCTCTCTCTCTCTCTCTCTCTCTCTATATATATATATATATATATATATATATATATGTATGTATGTATGTATGTATGTATGTATGTATGTATAATTTATAATGTATATGATATATATAATATATAATCTATATAATATATAATCTCTAATATACAATATATATATTCATATATGTTATACAGTATATTTTATATATATATATATATATATATATATATATATATATATATATATGTATATATATATGTATATATATATGTATATATATATGTATATATATATATGTATATATATATATATATATATATATATATATATATATATATATATATATATATATATATATATATGATATAATGTGTGTGTGTGTGTGTGTATGTATGTATGTGTATATGTATAATTATGTATTATATTGTATATATTCGTGTATATGTATGTATATATATATATATATATATATATATATATATATATATATATATATATATAGAGAGAGAGAGAGAGAGAGAGAGAGAGAGAGAGAGAGAGAGAGAGAGAGAGAGAGGGGGGGGGGGGGGGAGGAACAGTCCTGACACCTGTTCTTCGGTCTCGGTCTGTTGGTCTGCATCCCGCTTGAGTGAGGCGAATATCCGACTCGACTCCTCGATTCTTAAATTCGCAGATTGTCACAGAAGTAGTCTTGTATATATATATATATTTTTTTTTCATGCGAATAGGCCTATGGATTTGACAGACTGGTGATATGGACGAAAGGTTCACTGGTTGGTGATTTTAGTCATTTTTAGATTGACAGGTTAGTTATGACATTTTTGTTAAGATACGTGATGCTATCTTGACAAATTGCATTCAGTCAGTCATCACCAGTCTCGGTCGCTTTAAAAAAATGTGTAGGCCTATAGTTGTCAGAACTCTGCTATTAGACTAAGTTATTATCTAAAGAGTACTCGCGACGTATCCCTAATATTCCTTTTTTAATGTATTTTATTTATATTTATCACATTTAGTGATTTTTATTTGTATATGTTTAATTATTGTTTTCAATTGTAATTATTTGGTTATTTTTATATAATATTTAACGAAGGTATTAACCTTATTTTAGTATTGCAAGATTCTGTACCTTTGCCATTCAAATGTTCTTTATCATTTAGTGTATAATTTAGGAAATCTGGAAAGAAATACTGATAAAAATTGTAAGGAGTACGCGGTTGGTGATGCAAAACTTTAGAGGGGAAAAATATAAATAAATCAATAAAAATATTGTATATGGGTTTTTATATATAAAACATAAGTGAAATTAAGTAGTAAGTGTCAGCTGGTTAAAAAAAAAATAAAAAAAAACGAGAGACGTAGCGAATCTGACAACTCCAAAAGACCGGAGTGAGTTGCCAGTTTCCTGAGACGCACTATAGCCTTATCTTACTCTGGGACGAAACGCAAAACAGGGGATTATTGCCCCTTTTGGCCAGGTCTAGATGTGCTCTCCGGGGGGGCGGGGGGGGGGGGCAACACGAGCCCGACCTCAGCGTGTTTTTGGCCAGTTTTTGTTATTTTCGTCTAGCGTAGTTGAAGATGTTATAGTCTCTGGTCGTCTTAGATGTGTGTTGATAATTATTATATAGGCCTAGTTATAACATTAAAAACGTTGTTATATAGGCCTAGTTATGATATTAAAATATTATTGTAAAGGCTTAGTAATATCATTAAAACATTATTATATTGACCTAGTTTTAACATGAAGACTCGTAATAAATAGGCCTATCTGTAACATATAGGCCTACTTTTGAAAGACTTATTTGTAACATTAAAATCGCTCTGAAGCCAGTCTAGACGCACCAAGCCACGGCGGAGTGTAATTGAAATGTACCCGAGCATTGAGATGGCTTACGAACCAGAGCTGAGTCCGTTGGAATTGCGGATTGTGGGGCCGAAGTGTGAGGAGCGAACGACACGTGTCTTCCCTTCGAGCGGATCAGGTTCAAGGACGACGTAGGTCCTCCTCGGGCTTTGTGTGTGTGTGTGTGTGTGTGTGTGTGTGTGTGTGTGTGTGTGTGTGTGTGGGTGGGTGTTTGTTTTTTTTACGCTTCACACTCGGCATGATTTCGAAATTAAAGCCGAAGACGGATGTCATTGTTCGTAACTGGCGAAGCTGAGATCATTTCTCTTTCTTGCTCTCTCTCTCTCCTCTCGCTTGCTTTCCCCCTCTCTTCCCCTCTGTTTCTTGTCTCAATAAGCTAATCAAATCAGATCTCATTAATTTTCTCTCCCTCTCTCTTTCCTTTTTTTTTGTCTGTTTCCATCTTTGTCTCTTTTTCTCTGTATCTTTTCCTTTCTCTTTCTCATTCTTTTTTCATCCTCTCTCTCTCTTTCTCTTTCTCTTTCTCCCTCCCTTCCTCCCCCCCTCTCCCTCCCACTCTCCCTCTCCCTCTCCCTCTCCCTCTCCCTCTCCCTCTCCCTCTCCTTCCCCCTCCCACTCTCTCTCTCAAATCAAATCTCTCTCCCCCTCTTCCTCTCTTTCTATCTCCCATTCCCTCTCCGCGCACCCAAGCTTCAGGAAGAAGCCATCGGTATATACTGTTATCAATATGTTACTCAGTTCCGTTTGCTGTAACATTAGTATTAGTATTGTGCCACGAAAGACATCTAAAACATTAACAGCAAATATGATAAAGTGTTCAAGTTCTTTCCCAAACAGTATAAAGCACCCGATATTCAAGAAATACGTGTTCCTATGACAAGAATTCGGCCCAAGTAATGTCGTAAGATTATCCTAAAACACAAAGTAAACAGGGCGGACTATAATGCACACGGACTCCGCTGTTCGGTGGGGGAGGGGGGGTTGAGGGAGCTCGGTTCGGTCTAACAGTTATGGCCGCGTGAATGTAAATCTGCGTTCCGTTTTGCGGTGCCTCGAGAATTAAGTGTTTTTTCCCGTTAGTGTTTTTTCCTCAAGATTTTTTTCTTCTTTTTTTGTGGCTTGGACCGTTTTTTTTTAGGTTTATTTTTACCTTGTTTATATTCATTTAGGTGTGTTTATTCATCTTTGTGTTGACTTGCTTTATTTGTTTACGTGTTTGTTATACTTTCATTCTTTCATTTATTTGCTTATTGATTTATACTAAATCACGAGTTATTAGTAAGTGAAGAGAATGTGGATTTTTCCTTTTTTTAGTTGCAATGAATGCTGTAGGATGTACAATATCAAAATCTCAAATGTAATAAATAAATTGATTAATTAAGAAATGATGAATAGAGAGATACAGACCCATAGATAAGATAGGTGGATAGATAGATGGGATTAGATAGATAGGCCTAGATGGATAGATAGGCCTAGTTAAATGTATAGATAGGCCTAGATGGCTGGCTGGATAGGCCTAGGTAGATGGATAGATAGGCCCAGATAGATGGATAGATAGGCCCGGATAGATGAATAGATAGGCCAGGATAGATGAAAAGGCCTAGATAGACGGATAGGCTTAGATAGATAGACCTAGATGAATAGATAGGCCTAGATAGATGGATAGATAGGCCTAGATAGACGGATAGATAGGCCTAGATAGACGGATAGATAGGCCTAGATAGACGGATAGATAGGCCTAGATACATAGATAGGCTTAGATAGAATGATAGAAAGACATAGATAGATAAATGAACAAAGATAATACAGGTAAATGAAAATAAGATAAAGTATGACAATTTACGTGGAAAAAGTTAAGATTTACTCGCAAGACAAGGCTGTGGCACCATCAATCACAGCTCGAGAAATCACTAAAACGAAAAGCACGTGAGAGAGAGTGAGAGAGTGAGAGAGTGAGAGAGTGAGAGAGTGAGAGAGTGAGAGAGTGAGAGAGTGAGAGAGTGAGAGAGTGAGAGAGTGAGAGAGTGAGAGAGAGAGAGAGAGAGAGAGAGAGAGAGAGAGAGAGAGAGAGAGAGAGAGAGAGAGAGAGAGAGAGAGAGAGAGAGAGAGAGAAGAAAAATTGTGTTAGAGGTGAAGTGGTCTCGCCCGGCGCTAAGAAGATTACTGTTATTATTTTTCTTTCTGCTTTCACTTTTGATTTTTATTATTATTATTTTTTTTGAAGAGATGAGTTAGCGAGGATTTTTTTTTAAGTGATGAGTTAGCGAGGGTTGGCCTGTGTAGGTGTGATATTTTTTTTATTTTTTACTTTTTTATTTATTATTATTATATTTTTTTGAGATGAGAGGAGAGGAGTTTTAGAGATGGGTTGGTCTGTGTAGGTGTGATGAATTTTATTTTTAATTCTTAATTTTTAGAGATGAGTTAGCGGGTGGGTTGGCCTGTGTTGGTGTGGTCTGTTTTTTTTTCTTTCATAGTGAAAGGTGGTACGTTTATTTCTTGTATTTTGAGGAGTCATATGGTAACTTGTCTGAAGTCTAACACGGAAGATGACTTTCAGGTTCCTGATGGTATCTGGCGGTGTATTATTTTTATTGAATTCTGTGTGGCGGTATTTTATATGAAACATGAACAAATTTTTAAGAATCGTTATTTGTAATAGTATTTTATAGAGAACGTTAACCGCAAGTTTTCCGTGAAAGGGATTTTTTCCGTGAAAGTGAATGTGTGAATTTCATTGCGATGAAGTAGCCTTTATGAAGATGTATAGTAGTCTTGTATATATATATTTTTTATATCTAGTATATTGTTATTAATATAGATGATCAAGATAGCAACTTCACTTAACGATTAGGGGAAGTCGCATCTGCAGTCGAAACTATTACTAAAAAAAACGTAAATAACTTATTGCTTCACTACCCAGTCTTTTGGTATAAATCATATAACTGTAGTATAGTTTCTCGAGGCATAGCTTAATTTCTATAGTGTTTAGAATATACTTCTGCTACTTATAAATAGAGGTAAGCTTGGTATGTTTATGGATAAGGCACGCTGACTGTGAATTACAATTAATTCTTTGTAATTTTTGTGAGCTTACTTGCTTTCATAATGAATTTAGCTACTTGATTGTTTTCCCGAGAAAATGGTTTAAGTGGCTCAATCTTCTGTGATAATTGGGTTTGCACACGAAGAAACACTTATAACGAATCAATCTATCTCAGAGACGTGTAAAAAAAAAAAAAAAAAAAAAAAAAAAAAAAAGAAAATTAGTGAGGGAGGAGATTTTTCACGACTCACTCCCCCTCCCCCCTTTCGGTCATCGCCTGAAAGCACCCTTCTGAATTTGTTAAGAGATAGTTAAGGGATGCTTCGGGGGTCCTTTAAAGATGCTTGTTGGTGGCTGGTTCGCCCCTTTCCTCTCCGCTTTCGAGCTTTGGATTATTGGGTCGAGTTATGAGGCCGTTATGCAAATGCCAGTGAATGTGGCATGTCGCGTTTGTTCTTCCAATGTCGTATTATTTTTCTCTTTTATGAGGGCTATGTTGAGTTGGATGTGGATGCTGAATATAATTTGACTATTAATTGTGACGGTGTTTGCGAAAGACTGGACTTGGTGTAACAAGAAATAATGTTATGTTATTGTTATTGCATTGTCAACGGTAAACCGCGACTTGGTGAACAGATTGACTATTACCCCTGTGACGCTAGAGGCATGATTTATGCGTTGATTGGAGTTAGTAATCAGTTATAACCTTTATATTTTGATGTAGGAATTTATGCAAAAATATACATGTAATAGATTTGCAAAATTTTAATGAGGTGTAGATCCTGTTATTGTTAATGAATAAGTTCCAGACATATTGATCCGAAGTCTAGGCTCCATCTTCGCATTCGCATATGTGGTAATGGTGATTTAATTGTGTTGGCGAGTTAAATGGCTGTGCAGATTTATTTATTTTTTTTACTGAATGTGAATAAAGAACTCCACATTGCGAGATCTGTAATTGATGATCCGGTGTCCATCAGAGCTTAATTCAGATAAAATGTAATAAACCAAATAACGGATCATGAATACTTTGCATTGTGAAATTTAATCGTTCTTATTCGTACAAGTTCTGCGTATCTAATGGCTGCCCTAGAAATTGTGATTATAAGTGGTTGTTGTAGAATATTGAGATGTAAGTTAATATCGGTCTTACTTAATCGGTCGCTGATGCACTACTTGTACGAATGTGTGCGGATAACTGCGAATAAGTTAGATGAAATCATTTTTATAATATAAAAGTTTTATTCGTGGTAGCAACTGCTGTTGGTAGAATCTTCAGCGCGCCTTGATTAAGGCGAGTGGTGATTATAGTGATTTAATAGTAATGGTGACGTAGTAATTGTGGAGGGGGCCGCCGTGGTACGGTGGTACGGTGGTAACGCGCGCGGCTGTGGGCCGGAGGGTCCGCTAGCGCACGGGTTCGAATCCCGGCCACGGTCCGTGGTTAGGAAGGGCATCAACTCGGGGTAACGGTCTCCACCTACCAATTCCTGCATGTCCTTCACGGGGCATGCCCGTCCTAGCCCTTGATCAAAAAGGGAGTTTTGTGACGCCAAACCGAAATCCATTGTGGGGGGGCCGCCGTGGTACAGTTGTAACACGCGCGGCTGTGGGCCGGAGGGTCCGCAAACGCACGGGCTCGAATCCCGGCCACGGTCCGAGGTTAGGAAGGGCATCCACTCGGGGCAGTGGTCTCCACCTGCCAATACCTGCCTGCCTTTCATAGGGTAGGCCCGTCCTAGCTCTTGTCCAAAAAGGGAGCTTCGTGACGTTAAACCTTAAGGTGAAGTAGTAATTGTGGGGATGATGATACTGATAATGATAATGATTGTGGTGATGAGTATGATGATAATGATTGTGGTGATAAGTATGATGATAATGGGGATGATATGATAATCATTGTGATACAATTATGATATTGGTGATTATTATTGTTTTGTTTTGTTTTTTGCATCGTCCTTTGAAGTAATTGGTGTTTATAGCCAGTGGTATTATTGCCTCTGGGAACGCGGTCTGTTTTGGCGAATGGTACTCGGGTGTGTGATCAACAGTGTGCAATTTTCTCTGACTGTTGCAATAACGTTGAGGTGAATCATCCTTATTAATAGGCACGGTCTTGAATTATATTTGTGTTGAGAATTCTTTTAGCTGGCGAGCTGTAACTGAACGTTGTCATAAGTTTGACTTTTTTATATTATTTATATATTATTTAGGTCTTTTTCTTTCTCTTTTTTCTTTGTTCAACTGTGTATTTATTGACACCCTATTTCTAAGTTTAATTATATAGGCCTGTTCATTAAGTAAGGCCTATTTACGTATTTATATATTTATTTGTGTTTACTTGCCTACCTGTTTATGCTTACTTCCTTCCTTACTTCTCTCACTCTCTTATTTTACCCATTCATTCATTCATCCCATTATCGATTTATCTATCCATCTATATATTCACACCAGGAATACGAGCCTAAACCTATCCGGCCTCTATCACGTTAGTATGGAGGACACATCTGGCAAAGGTTGTGTCGCTTCTCACTCCTCGCTCGGGTGGAAACATCTGCCGGCTGCAAGTGTCACTGTCAGAGAATGTGATTGATGACTTGTATTTGTGTATGGTGAGGTGTATTGATTGTTTATGATTTGGGAAGTGGTTGAATCTGTGTGTGTGTGTGTGTGTGTGTGTGTGTGTGTGTGTGTGTGTGTGTGTGTGTGTGTGTGTGTGTCGGTTTGTGTTTGTATTTGTGTATCTTGCTTATTTGTGTAACCATCCAGGTTTATCTGTCTGTCTATATTTGTCCATCTATCTATCTATCTATTTCTATCCATCTATCTGCCTATCAATTTGCATCTATATGTATATCTCTATACCTTCATGATTATTATACAGGATATAGTTACCCACACTTAGACAAAAGTTTCAGTTCTAAACCTCGGAGCATAGATCCACTACTAGCGATATTTTTAGCGATGAAAGAAGATGAAAACGAGCTAAGATTTGAGAAAACAAGTTACGTGAGCCAGTCACTCTCCTGCTGCCATGGATGTTGCTTTGTAGATAGGCCTACTTTTCTTTGAGGTTGTCATCTTCCTGAAAACCTAGGTGTATATGTATAGAGTGTGTGTGTGTGTGTGTGTGTGTGTGTGTGTGTGTGTGTGTGTGTGTGTGTGTGTGTGTGTGTGTGTGTGTGTGTGTGTGTGTGTGTGTGTACATGTCTTAGAGGGAAAGAGAGTAAGGTCAGTAAGTAAGTAAGTAAGTAAGAGTGAGAGAGAGGGTGAGGGTGAGGGTGATGGAGAGAGAGGGAGGTGAGTGAGTAAGTAAGTAAGAGTGAGGGAGAGGGAGGGAGAGAGGGAGAGGGAGAGGAAGAGTGAGGGAGAGGGAGAGTGAGGGAGAGAGAGAGAGAGAGAATGGAGAAAAAGGTAGAGTTAGAGGGAGGTAGGAAAAGATAGGAGAGAACCAGCTGAGGTGACGGGGCAAGGAAGGGTCGTGCAACCGGGTCCTCCCACGCCCAAGCTGACTCAGGGTAGAACTCGTCCTGCGTGTTCCGCCCTTAAATCCACACGCCCATTCACCCGCAAGACCACAAGTCCGCACGCCCACCCTCCCTCAATCCCGCACGCCCGTCCGCCCTCAAGTCCGCACGCCCACCTGTCCGTCCGCAAGTCCGCCCACCCACCCGTCCTCAATCCCGCCCACCCACCCGCCCTCAATCCCGCCCACCCACCCTCCCTCAAGCTCGCACGACCACCCACCCTCCCTCAATCCCGCCCACCCACCCTCCCTCAATCCCGCCCACCCACCTGCCCTCAAGCCCGCCCACCCACCTGCCCTCAATCCCGCCCACCCACCCGCCCTCAAGCCCGCCCACCCACCTGCCCTCAAGCCCGCCCACCCATTCGCCCACACGCCCACCTGCCCCCCCGCAAATCCGCCCTTCCTCCCACGGGCGCGTGAAGTCGAGTTCCTACAGGAGTAGAAGGGGGTGCGGGAGAGGATTAAGATTCTGCAGGATTCTATAGGATTCTGAGTCAGATTCTATAGACGTCGCGTGGGATTTGCGGTCATTTTGCTGTCAGGATTATAGGCGTCTTTTATACCGTGTCATCAAACATGGTCATCGTTACTGCTACTGTTGTTTTATTATTATTGTTATTGTAGTTGTTATTATTATTATTATTTTTGTTGTTATTATTATAGTTATTGTAGTTATTATTATTACTATTATTATTATTATTGTTATCATCATCACCATCTTCCCAACTGTTAATATTACTATTT